GTCGTGCTGCATGCTGCCAAAGTCGTCGGCAGATGTGTCTTTCCAGTGTGTCTATCAGCTCCGTGGGGTCGCCTGCCTACTCGTCCTCAGTGAACTCCCACGTGCTGCCGTCTGCGTCGGTCCAAGAATCCGCCCGCAGCGCGTCCCAACCGCAGAGCCACAGGGTCAGGATGAGGCTGCCGATGGCTCCCCGTCGTTGCTGCCATCTGTGTCGTGGTGGTGCTTCGAGAAGTCGGTGTCGTATGAGAGGCCACGCCTTCCGTATACCTCGCCGGAGTTCTGGGTTCTTGGCCCACATGTCGAACCGGCCCTCGAGGTCGAGGAGCGTGGTGAGGCACCCCCCCGCCCAAGGGCGTCGCAACGCTTTAGCGAACCTTTGCCGAGTGCGGAGCGTCTCCGCAGGTGAGGCTCCGAATATCCTGTGGGCGTAGGTCGTGGAAGGCATGGGTCCTGAGTTGATGATCTGCTGCCGTTGACGTATGGGTAGTGGTCGTAGCTTCTTGCCGATGGATGTGAAGCGCTTAGCTGCCAGTCGCCGTCGTGCTTGGTGTGTTCGTCGTCGGGTGGTGGTCTTGCCTCCGCGGTCGGTGCCGAGGTCGCGTCCCTCCACTGCCTTCGCATTGGGACTCCTTGCTCGTGGGGCCTTGCAATTGCGTCGTTGGTGGCCTCGGGGTGGCTCGTGAACAGGATAGACTTGTTGGCCATGACCAAGTGTTGCTTCGAGAGCTCTATGCAGATGCTGTGGGTGGCGGAGACTATGCGGTCGGCTATATTGGATATGGTGCCGACACACTTGATGCTGATGTCGTCGAACCAAGCCCGCGGCATGCACGTCGGCGTCGTCGTCGTGAGACCCTCGAGTACCACGTGCGCCACCGCCCGTGCAAGGTTGTTGGAATGGCGCGAGCCCGCTAGTAGTGACCGTCGTGCACACTGCGGTACCGAGTACGCTCCGTTCTGCCGAAACACCCGCGCCACAGTGTGCATCTGCAGCGCCATGGCCAAGATTCTCGGAGGCAACTTGAACTTGAACCTGGTGGCGGCTTTGCCGATGCCGTGGTAGAGTAGTGAGTCATACAATCCCTGAATGCCCACCAAACTCGCACCATGCACGATGCCCAGCTCATGTGTCACTTCGTCAGAGATAGTGCAGCACAGCGCCTCTCGTAAACAAGAGTTGCCAGCAACTGCCGCGCCCATTTAGATTACGTAGTTAGTATCCAGTCTCGTACCTGACATCAGTTAAGTAGTTCCCAGCATCTGCAGAACCACGTAAGGAGAGCAAGTGCGCGGTCTCCCTTCTGCTTAGGTTGTAACATTGTGATCGCCAGCATGCACTGCCACGGAAAGCCGAGCTTAGCTTCGCATAGGTTGTAGAGGTGAACCAGTGCTTGCCGCCCCGCAGGTGGTAGTCGTCTGGCGTCCGTCATGACCATCTTATCTGCTCCCCGACCTTTGTCTGGTTCGCCTTGCAGCGCGCGGTCGAGGTCCTCCAACGTCCATACAGGCGTGTCCTCGACCACAGATGCCTTGAGCTCCCTAATCAGGCTGATGATTTGGTCGTCCGAAGTGGTGTCCGTGTGTCACAGCTGGGTGAACTGCGCGGCCTTGGCCTCGATGATCTCCGTGGCAGTGGAGTGCTTAGTGCCGTGTGCGTCGATCAGCTCATCCTCAAACCTGGGCTGCTCCTGCGTGATGCGGTGGATGGTGCCGGGGGAGGTCTTGGCCATGTCGCTGACCCATTGGGCGTAATCGTGGTTGCTGGCTCGGATATCTCGTCGTATGGTCCACTGCATCTCCTGAGTCGCCTGTGCGGCCATGCCCTTGATGATGTCGTGGTCCAGGACAGTGATATCCAGCAGTCTTTCCTTCCATAGTTGTCGGTGTAGGGCTGCTCGAGATGACTCGTGGCGTCCTGCTGGGGGAATGCCCCGATGGGCGAGGCGTCGGCAGCTATCGGCGATGGCACGCCGTTGCTGTTCGCCTCGTTGTCGGGTTAGTAGTGTGTCGTAGTGGCCTAGTGCTGTAGCTGTGCTGCTCCACCAGTCAGCGTATTGGTTGGCGCATTGTGATCGTCGGTGTCCGCAGGTGGCTGTGCTGGTCCAATGGTACTCATAACCCACGCCTCGCCCCAAGAACTTCTGTCGGTCGTCTTCGCTGATGCCGTAGGCGTCGCAGAAGAAGGCTTCCATGGTGTGCATGAAGGCGGCGTAGGCTTGGCCCAGGTTGTCTGCAGCCTGCGGGTCTGCTCGGTAGCTGATGCTGTCTTTGGTGTATGTGGGCGCCGTCGTAGGTGCTGGTGGTTGGAGAGCTGCCCGTCGTAGCCACTCCTCCTCCATTGTGGTTGTGCTTGGGAGGCTTAGGCGTCTCCGCTGTGGGGGCCGCGGAGGGGTGGCAGGCCGAGGGCTTTCGTGCCCGATGGCGTGTTGGGGATCGTGGAACGGGTCGTGGTCGGGCGGCTCCAGCTCTGGTGGGAGGTGCTCGTCGTCTGCTGCGATGCCAGGGTCGAGGTCGAACTGTGCAAAGGGGTCGTCCTCGTCGTGGTATGATGCGGTTCTTGCTGGTCTGCCAGCCACTGATGTGTCATCAAAACTTGTGGCGGGGACAGTCCATCCGCTCGGAGTGAGGGCTTCCCGTCGCTTGTTGAGCTCGTTGTGGTCGTCGCAGACAGGCCGACGTGGTTGAGGTCTTTGCCGTGGACGCGGTGGTCGGCCCGCCTCCGTGGCTTCGCGGAGGCGCCGCCGTCTCTTGCTCTCAGGGTCAGGTCGTCGAGCTGGAAGCCGCGGGTGGTTGAAGTTGGAGGGAAGTCGCAGTTGTCGTGTCCAGCATTCCTGGGCAGCACCATGAAGTCGGATGACCTGGCCGAGGTGAGGCTTCCACGGGACGTCTGCGCACGTGGTGATGCTCACGAAGTGGGGCACTGCGTGTGGGCTGAGGAGCGCGTAGTCAATGATGGAAGGGATGGCGCCCTTCATGGCGCATGTGAAACTGCCGTCTAGTACGCTGGCAATGGTGACGGCGCCGAGTGCGGTATGCCAGCCAGAACGCCATAGCGTCCCGGGCGGAACGTTAAAGTCGCCTGCCACGATCCAGGGGTAGGAGGTCGTCCGCAAGAAGTTGCCTGGGCTGCTGAGCTTCCTCGCGTCCACTCCTACGCGCAGGGAGGAACCGTGGTCTAAGTTGAGCGAGATGATCAGTATGCTGTAGCCCTTCATGTGCCAGAGCATGGGCACCCAGTCGTAGAAGTCCACTGACCCTCCAGTAGGACTGCAGCACGACGTAGCGGGTGATGTCCAGCCTGGCGCGGACAGCTCCCGAAAGGTGGAGGTCTGGAGGTAGTTGCGGGCGCCCACGCACACACCCCCGTGCGTGCCCCGCGTGGAGTTCCGTGAGGGCAGCGCCGCCGAGAAGCACGTCTTGAGGCCCAGCGCGCTCAAGTGGCGCTCTACGTCGGTGATGCTGCTCATGTCTTGGTGCGTCTCCTGAATTAAGTAGCCGTGGAAGTCGCGTCGCTGCAAGAGCCCCTCGATCCACTTCAGCGCCGTCGGTCCCCACTGCGTGATGTTGCCGCATAACAGGTCCCTGTGCTCCACCGCGGACTTCTGGTGGGCAGGGCTTCGCCTTCAGGCGGCGGCGGAGCTGGAGGCGGCGGCGCCCTTGCCGCTGCCCTTCTGGGTGGCCACGAGCTGTTTGGCCGCCTCCTGCATCATCCGCTGCGCACGCACCTCCTCGAACTTCTTGGCTGAGATCTCGGCGGCGGCGGCGGTGCTCACCTCGGTGGCCCCAGCGTCTTCCTCGGTGGGAGGAGTAGCTGGGGCCCCTGGTGTCGCAGCCTGCAGCGTCGTCGCACCCGAAGCCGAGGCTGGTGCTGCGGCGGCAGTGTCTGCTCCATCGGGTGGCTTCCGCTTCTTCGCCCTCCGCTCGTTGATCGCCTCGTGGATGCGCCTCGCGCTGTCGAGGCGCGCCTTGATCTCGTCGCCCCGCTCCGCGAACTGGTTCTGGTAGCTGTTGAGCTCGCTCAGCACCTTCGCCAGGTCCGCCTTCTCCGAGTCCTCGGTGCCGTCCAGGCCGTCCAGGTTCACGAACAGCGCAGGATCCCACGAGAGCGTGAAGACGGCCTCCTTGTCTTCGCCTCCCACCTGCTTCGGAAGGCTGCTGCTGCATCTCGCCGCTGCTGCTCAGCTCGTGCCAAAGCCAGCGCCGCCACGGCCTCCTTCTCTTGGGCCGCTGCCAGCCGCTCCTCGCAGACCAGGACCTGGTTCACCGCCTGTTCGTGGCGGTAGCTGGCGTCCTTCCAGGTGCTGGACGCCTTCTTCACGAGCTCGTCTGGGGCGGGCTCCTTGGCAGCAGGCCCCTGATGTGGCTGGATCGCTGCTGCTGCTGCAGCCGCAAGGAGGGCGCGCCCGCTGCCAGAGTGGTGAGCAGCTGCTGCAGCGCCGTCGCGTCCACGATAACCTGCTGCTGGGGCTGCGCTCCTGCGGGCTGCTGTTGCTGCTGCTGCTGCTGCTGCTGCTGCTGCTGCTGCTGGTGCTGGGGCTGGTGGTACTCGGTGGCGGCCTCTGATCCGCAGCGCCCGCACCGATGCTGGCGGGCCTTCAGCTTGTCATCCCAGTCCCAGGCCTTGCACTTGCCACATGTGCTCCAGCTGAACCTCTGCCCCTTCTTTCCTCCCATGGCGAGGGGAGGTGAGGGGAAGCACGGGTGTTCGTCACCGCCAACTGGCCGCTGCTATGGCGGCGCCGCGCGGTGTGCCCCAAGCGCCTCGGGCAGGCCCCCGTGCTGCGCTTGAAAGGAGGAGGAGGAGGAGGAGGAGGAGGAGGAGGAGGAGGAGGGGGAGGAGGAGGAGGAGGAGGGGGAGAAGGAGGAGGAGGAGGAGGAGGAGGAGGAGGAGGAGGAGGAGGAGGAGGAGGAGGAGGAGGAGGAGCAGGAGGAGGAGCAGGCGTGTCGCTCCGCCAGTTCTGGCCCACCAAGCTTCGGCGCGACACGCTACCTACGTCCCAGTCCCCTAGCGTCAGCTTCCCGATCCTTACCAACCCTCCCGCCCCGCTGAGCGTAGCGACGCGCTATCCGCTCGCAGGGCACAGCATGTGGCCAGGGCCGCCGCGGCGACAGGCTAGCCACAAGTTCTCGGGCACCCATCTTCAGTTTGTTATCCTATCTACATATTCTTGCCATTGCCCCACCTGGGCGTCTACTGCCCTAGTCCAGCATGGCGCGGCCGGCGCGCGCACCGCTGCCGCTGCTGGCGGCGACGTCGGCGGCGGCACTCTTCGCTGCCACCTGCGAGGCGCTGGCGGCCGCGCCGGCGGAGCTCTCGGCGGAGGCGCCGGCGGGCGCGGCTCCAGTGGCGATCCTGCTGTCTGGCATGCTGGACCGGCTGCTCGTGACCCCGCTGCTAGAGAACCTCGTGCGCGCCAACGTTGACGCAGGCACCCCGGTGGACATTTTCTTCGGGATGAAGCCGCAGATGGACGGGCAGAACTACGCGTCGAACAAGGGAGAGAGCAAGTGGCTGGTGGCAGAGGCAGGGTCGCAGAAGTACGTGAAGGATCCGAGATTGACCAGGTTGCGCGCCACGAACGTCTCCAACAAGGAGCTGTTCGGGCGGCTCTGCGAGTGGTCCCTGGAGGCGGGCGCGGGCAGGTGTGTAACGGAGGAGGAGGCGGAGGAGCCGCTCGAGCTGCCCGACGACGAGGTGCATCGGAGCATCATGTCCTACTACAATCCAATCTCGACCGCAACGGGCCAGAACGTTCTGAGAAGGTGGCGTACCATCGACAGGCTCCTGAACAAGGCGAAGGATGCGGAGCTGGCGCACGGCTTCCGGTATAACTCGGTGCTCATCGCGCGCGACGACAACTATTGGTTGACCCCGTACATATTCGACACGACGGATTTCGAGGCTCGCCCCTCCATACTGAGGTCTACCTCCCGCTTGGAGGCGCATGGCATTAACGACAAAACGCTCCACCTGGGTCGGGACGCCGTTGATCGGATGGGGGCCCTCTACCAGGCCTGGAAGCGGGTGCCCCACGACGCGCTTAGGGACACCCGCAACGCCGAGGAGTTCTTGTTTAAGCTGGCGATGTTGGAGGGTGTCGGGATCAGGCCGACTGGCTTCAAGTACGCCCTTGCGTCCCTGACGGAGAGCGGGATCCCCTGCTATCGCAAGCAGTCTTACAACCTGACCGACAAGGGCGGCTACCACAAGTGCCACGACGAGGCCACGGAGGACGGCCCAGTCACGAAGCTATTCAGGACCTTCAGCTGCGACACCATGAATCCAGTCTTCTTCGATGCGCTGAGCAGCGACGAGGTTGCCGCGCTCAGGGGTACCATCCTCGAGGCGTCAGGGAGGGCCGGGAACGTGTCTGTCGTGTTCACCATTTCCGACCTCGCCGACATCGACAAGGCCGTCATAACGCTGGCCAGCTTGCGGTCGGCTGACCCGTCCGCGAGGGCCGTCGTGGTGACCCGGGCGCAGGGCTGCGAGAGGATCAGGCGCGCGGCCGGAAATTCCGCGTGCGTTGAGTTGCCCCGGGTACTCGACGACCAGAGGGTCAAGGTCGCTTTGCTCACCACGGCCGTCTTCAGCGGTGCGGCTGGCGGCATCCTCTTCGCGGAGCCCGGGGTCAAGTTCCAGGAGGACCCTGTAGCAGCGTTTACAGATGTCAGTGGTGGCCACGATGTTGTCTTCGCCCCGAGGCAGGCCGCGCAGTGTGATGCTCTGGCCGCCAGCGCCGACGTCAGCAGCAGCCTTTTCTACGTCAAGAGCACGCCGGGAGGGTCGCACGCGCTCATGCGGGCGTGGATGTTCCTGGCCGAACAGAAGCTTCCCGGAGGCTACTACGTGGGCGAGCGGGTCGCCTTGGGCATCGACTTCACGCTGTCGGGCGTGTCTCTGAACGCGGGCGACGCCGGTACTGTCCGGGGCCCGTCGCAGAAGGACCTGGAGCGGGTCGTCGTCGACCTCGACAGGTTGCCCTCGGGGTCCGGCCTCGCGCTCTTGCCGAGGCAGCTCTCGCCGAGAGGCTCCCGGTCGCTGCTCGCGCGCGCCGTGGCGGCCTCCGCGGGCGTGCGGGCAGCGGCGACGCGGTGCGGCCGGCTGGGCTGGGCGCACCTGCCCGAGGAGGAGTGAGGCTTGCGGGCGCCCTCCTCCTCGCTCGCTCGCGCGCTCGCACACCTCTCCTCCATCCTCCTCTTCTTGCCTCCCCTTGCTCCCCGCGTGACGCCGCTGCACGTGCGTAGCGAACTCGCATCGTTATAGTTCATCGCGCTCGTTTCCGCCCCACTGAACGTTTCCTTTCCTGCCCGAGTCGGGGGCCATTCCTCCTTTACGAGTTTGACGCCCTGAGTGAATGGCACGACTCTCCTCACCCCTCCCTCCCTTTCTTCCTCCCCCTCCTCCCCCTCCTCCTCCTTCTCATCCTCCTCATCCTTCTCCTCCCTCCGCTGTGCGCTGCGCAGCTACTCGACATTCTGTGCGAGACCGAATGCTGTCGCTCGAGCTTTTTTGTCCGGCGGGCGCTGACCGAGCGAGCGGGCGCCGATGCGCCGTGCCCAGGACAAGTCACCTGCACCGAATTAGGGGGGGGAGGGAGGGCCCCCACGACCCCGGCCAGCACAGGGGAGTGCGCGGCAGCGGGATGGTGGGGGGCGCTGCCTCCGCGAACGTCATAGGCAACGCTCACCTCAGACCAGGAGGTGCCACTGACCACTCTGTACACCCTAGCGGAGCGGGTGGGCCCAGGCAGCACGGCAGTGTCGCTCGAGCTTACTTCGCCCCCCCGACCAAAAACACATGCAATGTTTGGGAAAGCTTCTGAAATGGTGTTGTGTCGTGCGCCGAGTGGAAGACGCCACCGCGCCGCGCGTCGCCGCGCCTGGCTTCCCCTCCTCGTTGCGCCCTCTTCGCCTTCGCCCCCCCTCCCCCACACCAACGACACACGCAACGTTTGGGAAGGCTTCTGAGATGGTGTCGTGTCGCGCGCCGAGTGCAAGACTCCACCGCGCCTGGCTTCACCTCGCATGCCGTCGTACTCTTGTGCTTGTCTGCTCAGTGGCGCCCCTGGGCCCTGGGATGGGCTCTCGGGCTCTCTCTGGCGCCGCACCGTGCAGGACTCGCCTTGAGTGCGGCCTCGGCTTCGAGTCCCCGTTGCCCTTCGGTTCATGCGGGGCCGTCGGATTCTATGATCCGTCTATCAGCGTATTGGCGCGGCTCTGCATGGTACCGTTTTTTTTACTTCGTGGTGCCGTTTGAGCCCAGCTGCATCGCAAGCTTCGAACTGCAAATTGGCTTGTGAACGTGTAGATGCAGGAATGGTTGGCCGTTTGGGCCTCCGCAGACATATTTCCACGGCTGCTGCTGTGTACGCAACGTTCTACAAACAAGTTCAGCCACTGCCCGAAGGGCTGGCTCTCCCCCCCTCCCCCCCTCTCCACGGGCAAGCCGTAGTACATGTACAACATGTTTTGTTCGCGCGGGATGGGTTGCGGAACCGCAGTTAGATAACCCCCAGCCACCCCTTCGGCGGCTATGGTGTCCGTTTGACCTCCGAGTCGTTCGTGGCCTCCGAGCTGCTGGACGCCAGCGAGCCCCCCCCAGAAGGAACCGCGACTTGGGAATGAGGAAGCAGTACATGGTACATGGCACCCCGCAGTTGCGATAAGAGTGAGGGGGCGGGCTCGGGGTGGGTCGCGGGTGGGTCGCGGGTCGGTCGCGGGTCGGTCGTTGACAGGTCGCGGATAGGTCGCGGGCTGGCTCGCGGGCTTTGACAAAACGCATCGCAACGCAACACACATCCGCACCGTGGAACCCCACTTCAGCCACGCACCCAGGGACAGTGTATGACCGTTCGGCCATCTCACTCTGGTCCGCCCGCGGCTTAGGACTCAGGAAACAGTATGTAATCGCGAATTAAGAGCAAGGGAGCAGTGTAGAACCGCGGCTTCGGCACAAGGGCGTAATATATGGAACCTCGATCTAGGAAAGGGAGAGGACATAGTAAAGAACCATGACTTAGGATTAGGCAGACAGTATATAATTGCGACTTGGGAATAACGGAACATGAGAGAATCGCGACTTCGGAGTAAGGAGGCGATATAGCATCGCGGCAGCATACATTGGACATCGAATAGAACTATTACGTCGGAATAAGGAAGCAGTCTATAATCGAGACTTGGGATCAATGATGTAGCATGCAATCGCGAAATATGAATGATAAAGGATTTAGGCATACAGTATATAATCGCGACTTGGAAAAAACGAAACATGGCATGAAGTGCGATTTCGGAGTAAGGAAACGACATCGCATCGCGGCAGCATACCTTGTAAGTCGTATAGAAATCTTACTTCGGAGAAAGGAAGCAGTCTATACTCGAGACTTGGGAACAATGAGACAGCATGCAATCGCGAAGTATGAATGAGAACCTATTTGTTGGCTAGAAAAAACGCGACTTAGGAATACGGACACTCCATGGGACCGCGACTCAGGAATAATGGCACCGTATAGCTTCGCGAGTTTGAGGTTTGGGAAACTGTACATAATCGCGGCTTAGGGCTGGACGCCGTATAGAATCGCGCCTCGGGAACAAGGAAGCAACATCAAACCCCGTTGAGGAATTCTTAAAAGCAGTATAGGACCGCGACTCTGGAATGTGGAACCGGTATGGAATCGCGACTTGAGAATTGGAAGCTGCATACCATCGCATCTTCGCAACACGGAAATAATCTATAGTTGCGGATTCGGAAACAGGAAACAGTATATAATCGCGACGTCGAAATGAGGAATCAGTATAGAATTGCGATTTACGAGTAAGGACGTAGTTCATCATAACCGAACCTTAATACGATGGACACGGCATATAATCGTTATTTCAGAGTTAGGACATAGTATAGAATCGCGATTTCGACATACGACAACATAATAGAAACGCGATTTCGGAATAAGGAAACAGTATGCTATCGCGGCTTCTTAGGAAGCAGGACGCAGTCTTGAATCGCATGATAAGAACAAGAACAAGGAAACAGTAACAACGCGATTTCGGCATAGCAATTTGCAATCGTGCCTTGGGAACAGGGGTCTGAATAATCGCGTTTTAGGAGTGAGCGAGCAGCATCGAATCACGTCATCGGAGTAAGGGAACAGTATATAGAGTCCCGGCTCTAGATTGAGGAAGCAGCATCAGGAATCAAGGAACCGTATAGAAAGGCGCACCAGGAATATGGACAGATGGGACAGGGTTAGGAATAAGGAAACGATCAGAATCGTTGTTTGGGAGTGCGGAAGCAGTATAGAGGCGCGACTTATGAATTAGGAAACAGTATGAATCCGCAAGTTCGGAACCAGGAAACAGTATATAATCGCCACCCAAAGAGTCAGCAAGCAGTCTTGAACCGCATTTAGGGAATTGGGAAGAGTTTGGATCCGCGGCTACGGAATATGGAGCCAGTGCAGAGCCGCGATCTAGAGTCACGGACGCAATATATAATCGCAACCCAAGAGCAAGGGAGCCGCATGGAATCGTGATTGAGGAGAAGGGAAAGAGTATAGACAGGCGTCTCAGGAAGACGGAAAGAGTTTACAACCGTGGCTTAGGAATAAGGAAAGAGCATCGAATCGTGACTTACTATAGACTCGTGGTCTAGGAAGACGGAACAGTATAGAACCGCGATTTAGGAACAATGAGGCAGTGCTGAGTCATGGCGTAGGAATGAGGGAACAGTATAGAATTATGACGTCGGCGTTAGGAAACAATACAGGATTGCGACTTGGGAACATGGGCGCGGAATGGAATCGCGCTTCAGGGATAAAAGGAAATGATATAGAACCGCGAGTGCAGAAGAGGAGGCGTGCGGCCGCAGTCCCGGCTATTCAAGGCTGGCCTCGTCGAGTCGGCGACGTGCCCGTTGTGCCAAGCAGCGGAGGGCACGCTCGGGCACCTCTTCTGGGAGTGCCGGTGCACGGCGGCCCTTCGCCGGGAGCTGCCGCCAGCCGTGGTGCAGGCAGCCCAGAACGGTACCCTTCCGCGATGCCTCACACGGTGTGGTATTGTCTGTGAGCCGCCGGAGGTCCGCGAAGCTGGTGGCTGGCTGGCTGCCGCCGCGCCGGGCCAGGAGCAACTGCTGCGACAGTGGCGACTGCGGGTCTCTCAGCAGGCGTGGTATCGCGGAGGCCGGCTTGTGATTGCCACGGACGGGGCGTGCTGGAACCAGCAGCTGGGATGGGCTCGCCGGGCCGGTCTGGGCATCTACGTGGGCCCTCGGTGCGGCAACCTCAGTGCAGCTCTCCCCGGCATGGATCAATCCAGTGGGCGCGCCGAGCTCCTCGCCATCATTCTGGTCTTCGCCGAGGCCGGCCGGCTGGGGCTGCAGGTGGAGATCTTGACGGACTACGAGTGCGCCGCCAAGGCTTGGGCAGCGTGGAGCGGAGGCCCGTCCTTCCACCCCAGGGAGCAGCTGGATCTTTGGCGCCGCCTGGAGCCCCTCGCGCGGGCGGCCCTCGCAGCAGGTTTCGCCCTCACCTGGGTCGCTGCGCACGGCCGTGCGGTACACGAGCAGGAGCTGAGGTGGAACAAACTTGTTGACGACCTCGCCGTGCAGGGGTCCAAGCGGCACACGGGCCTCCAGCGCCTGACCCAGGCCATCCGCCTGAAGGAGGCCATCCAGGAGAAGGCCCAAGCCGTTCAACGGCACATGGTGCGCTGCATCGTCCTGTGGGGCCACCAGGAGGAGGAAGAGGAGGAGGAGGAGGAGGAGGAGGAGGAGGAGGAGGATGAGGAGGGCGAGGAGGGCGAGGAGGACGCGCCAGGTGGGCCGGGCCCCGAAGACCTGGCAGCAGCTGACCCACCCAGTGGCGAGCCGGCCCCTTCCGGCGCTGCACTGGCGGCGGTGGCGCTCGAGCAGGCTGATTTCCCTCGGTACCCTTGGCACCATCAGGCCAGGGCCACACGCCAGCTCATCCTGGGGCCCCCTGTGACCCTCCACAGTGGGAATTGGATGATGGGGAGCCACGACAGATACCACGCCATGCGCTGGTACCTGGGCCAGCTCCGGTTCGACGCTGCCGCCTCCGAGGTTGGCACTACATGGGCCGAGCTGGCCGTGGATTTCGAGCCCAGCACTGGCGTGGAGCTAGCTCCGCCTGGCAGCGCCATGGCCGCGCGGGCCAGAAGTTTGCAGATGTGGCCTCTCGTGCCTGGCAGCTGTCCACGCCCAGGCAGCAGCGCAAACGCGGGGGCAACAGGCAACGGGCACTCGGGGACCTCACAGTGGTCTCTCGGGTCACCGCCCTCGTGGCGCTCGGCTTCAAGCAGGGCCCGGGGGTGACCTCGCGTGCCATCTTCGTGCAGCCCTTCACGTATGAGGTGCTGCTGCGCGCGGCGCAGCGTGGACAGGCAGAGAGGCGCCATGCTCACCTCCAATGGCGGCCAGACTACGCAGGCGGCCCCGCACCGACCATGCCGGCAGCTGTCCGGCACGGACCGCCGGCGCCACCTGTGGCCGCTGCCAAGAGGGTGACGGCTGAGAGGATGGCTGCTGGGCACAACGCCGTCGCCGAGCGGAAGCGCCAGGAGCACAATGCCGTCGCGGACTCCCAGGGCCTCCACGTGCTTGGGCCCGTTCCCCCGGGAGCTGACAACTCCCAGCCGGTCGTCTGTGAGCGGTGCGGGCGGCAAACGCAGAAGATGCGCCTGGCCAAGTTCAAGCGGGAAGCTTGCGCCGCAGCCTCGGGAGGCCGAGGAGGAGGAGGCGGGGCCGCGCCTGCGGTCCGCCGAGGAGGAGGCCGAGGAGGAGGAGGAGGCTGAGGAGGGGGCGGAGGAGGAGGGCGCCACGCAGATTCCCCACAACCCCAAGATGCAGCCAGCCGATGAGGAGGAGGTGGAGGAGGAGGAGGAGGAGGAGGAGGAGGAGGTAGAGGGAGGGCGTCGCCAGGCAGCTTGGCTACCACAGCCGGGAGATGCCGGGTGACGGTCGCCTCGCTGGGTGGCTGAATGGATGGTCTGCCGTTCCGTATTGGCAGAGCTTATTCTCCTTTGTCCTGCAGGTCAACACTGTGTCAGGTTCCTCGCAGAAGCGCCGCCCCCGCCACCATCTGTCCCACACCAAGAATACGAGAAACAAGGATAATCATACTGATAATGTCCATACGAAAACTCATACGAATATCCCGATCGAGACGAATAATGACAATACGAATAATCATATCAATACGATTACCAATACTAATACTATCACTAATTCTAAGAATAATATTAACAATATTATGAAACACGATAATGAAACACTATAACTAACTCTAATACGAGAACAGATAATCAGACGAATAACAATACTACGACGACGAATGATAATAATGCTAATGCGAGGAAGGGGGAGGAGGAGTTTGAGGAGGACAAGGAAGAGGAGGAGGAGGAGGAGGAGGAGGAGGAGGAGGAGGAGGAGGAGGAGGAGGAGAAGGAAGAGGATGAGGAGGAGGAGGGCGAGGATGATGATGAGGAGGAGGCGGCGGAGGAAGAGGATGCGGAGGCGGAGGCGGAGGAGGAGGAGGAGGAGGAGGAGGACGCGGAGGAGGAGATGGAGGAGGAGGAGGAGGAGCAGGAGGAGGAGGGGGAGGAGGAGGAGGAGGAGGAGGAGGAGGAGGAGGAGAAACAATAATATAATACATGGGGGAATGGGACACATAATAATGCTATTACGAAGGCTAAACATACTACATGAGCAGAAAACACAGAAGAATCAGAGGACGCAGAATAAGCAGAAACAGAAGCATTCACATAATAATACTATTAAGAATACGGATAGTGAGATTAATCACGGTACTACTACTAATACTGTGAATAATACTAACGAGCATACGAAGACTAAGACGATTACGAATAGCGACGAACAATAAAACTAATCATAAGAATAATGATGCGACGGATAATACTTAAACCAATACGAATAATAATACTGAGAAGGAGAAGAAGCATACGAATAAGACTATCAAGAATAATACGAAGAAGAATATTCGGAATCCCATTAATCATAGCAATGAGATCCGTAGCCATTTTGGTTCAAGGTTCTAACCTTCCCTTGGGCTAGACAGGGAGGCCCGAGTTTCCCGAGGTCAGGCCTCACTTTTTCCCCGTTCCGATCCCTGCGCGAGCTTCAGTGCCTCGCAGAGCTATTTTTGGCCACTCTCTCACCGCGGTGCGGATAACACCAGTTTCTCTGATGCCTGCTGAGGTCGTCAGGGCGGTCAAGAAGGGGAAGCTCTCTCGCTCCCTCTCGCGACGTGCTGCGAAGAAGGAGTCGTCGGACAGCCGCAGCCCTTCGCACTCACCGCAGAGGTTCTCGATGAGTCCTGACCACCGCGAGCGCCTCTCGAGCTCTGGCTCGAGCCTGCGGTCCTCCGACAGGACGCGCACGAGGAACCGCAAGAGTGAGTCGGATAATGAAGATGCTACGCCTGCACGTCCTCCAAGTTGGATGAAGCAGCTGATCGTGAGCATTCAGGACTCCAACACTCGTATCCAAGTGCTTGAGCAGAACTTTGCCCAGGAGGTGCAGTCGCTCCAGTCAGCCATCTCGACCACCGACAAGAACGTCCACCTGCTGAACACGCGCATCCTGGCCATGGAGATGAACAGCGCCGCCGCCCTCAATGATGCCGTGGCGACCGCAGTGGACATTCAGATGAAGAACATTGATGCAGCCATTGCAGAACTGCAGGGTGCACCTACACCGCGCTCCTCGGCTCCGTCGCAGCGGACAGGGAGTGCTGGACCGCCACACGATGCCAAGCATGCGAACTTCGAGCGTGCCCATCGTATGATCATCGTGGGCTTCCCACGTAAGATGATGCAGGCCTTTTTGAAGCGTGCTGTGTATCTGGCCATTACCGCTGGCATTCCCCAGGATAGGCCTCGCCTGGATGTGCGCACCTACGACATGACTACGATGATTGTCTTCGACTGTGTGGATGCGTCCAAGGCCTCCGGCTTCCTCTGCATGGTGAACTCCTTCGGCCCGATCGCCTTCCAAGACCCGATGTCCCCGCGACGGCAGATCATGCTACGTGCCAAGAGGGACATGGAGCCGGGGCACCCGTCTTCTCTTCTTGGCCATGGGAAAGGTTCGCGGGGCTCTTGCCAACGTATTAAAGCAGGCCGGCAAGGACATGGAGTCCAATGGTCTCGGAGGAGATGTTTATATCCTCCATTCCGCGGGAGATCCTGTGCTGCTGTGCCATCTCGATCTTGTGTCCAGTGATTCTGTGCCGCCACATGTTGCCATAACTTTTTTCCCCGAGCAGTTTGCTGAATTCCATGAGCTCGTCTCTCCCCTCGTTCCGCGCCTGCAGGAGGGGATTGATCATTTGAACGAATCGTTGCCCTTTTAGAGTGGACTGTGACTGGCCACAGGCTGTGGGCGTGGCGATAGCGACACCTGCAGAAGTGTGTCCCAACGCTGCGAGCCTGGGCGGCTATTCTCCCAGCCACTACTGCCAATTTGACTGCTCTGGTCAGGCGAACTGTCGGTCTGCAGATGTGCCTCTGCTTCCGTCTTGAGCTCTCCCTGCTGGTGCCATGGTTTCTTCTGGTGGTCCCAGTGGCCAGAGCTCTGCCCGGCCGTCTTTTCCTCCGATCAGGGCCCGCCCATTCTTCCCACCCTCTCGCGTGAAGATTGGATCTTGGAATGCTGCTGCCCTTCTTGCCGCTGTTAGGGGTCGAAGTGCGAAGGCTGCCCCGCGTTCTGCTCGGTTTTTGAAGCTCGCGATGCAACTCGCGATATTTTGTGCGCAGGAAACGCATGAACAGATTGCGGATATCAATGAGCTTCGGCGAGAGCTTCGGCATTTTGAGATCGGTCACTCCATATTCCCTGACTCGTCTGCATCCGGCTTACTTTTGCTAAGCTCTTCTCCACCATCACCCGCTCGGTTGTCATCGAAGGTCGCATCCTCAAGTCTTACCTCGCTGGGCCTCTGGGGGACCACTGCATCTTTAGCGCGCGCGTGCCCAGCGCCAATGAGCTTACCAGCGTCTATTCGAATGCTCTGCGTGCCATCCTACATGCTCTCCCTAACCCAGCTGATTGCCTCGCTATTCTGATTGGTGATTGGAACTTTGCTCTCTCCTCCGATGGCCGTCTCCGTGCTGATGGCAGTGGCTGGTCTGTTGGAGACGACGACCATGCCAGTCTGTTTCGTCGTCTTTGTGGTTCCTGGATTGAGTTTTACCAGTGTGAGGATGCGAGGGGGGAGGTCAGGGACGGGGTAACGACACATACTTCGCGACTGGGCCGTGCGCGCAGCCATCTTCCGTCTGCTCTAGTTTCGGACCTCACCATTGTGAGCGAGGCGCTTGGGCCCCTGAAGGTTGACATGGTCTCATATCACGTTCCCATTGTTGTCTCAATCAGCGCCTTCAAGCCGCTCGATGTTCTGAAACGCCTGGCCCCCGGGATGTCTCGGCAACCTCTGTTTTCGGATCTTCTGGGCGGAGCCATTCGTGCACTCCCTGCTGGTGAACCGTGGGGCCGACTTGCTGAAGCAGAATCCCTGATGTTTGAAGTTGCTGAGGAGGTGAAGCGGATCGTTAGTGCTAAGATTGCGGGCGCTACTGAATCTAGACACCGCCGTGCCCTGCAAGCCCTTCGTGCCTGGCGCGCAGGAGACTCTTTCAAGCTCGACGCTGTCATTGCTGCCTATCCTGCCCTAGCTCAGCACTCTCCAGGCGGCCTTCAAGGCGCTCGATGTGAGGCCCTCTGCCTTCGCGTTCGGAGTCTTCACGGTGCTCTTCTGTCTGCTGAGGAGGGTGAACTTAATCTGGTCAACAGTAACGATAATGGCCCTGGCAACCATGAAGGGGGTTGACCTGGGCTCTGGCGGGCCCTGTGCTGGCGGCGAGGGCAATGCTCGGCGGAAGCTGGCGGCTCGGAAGGTGCTCTGGAGGAAGATGAGGCGTCGCACCTGGCTCCAAGGGGCCCTCTCGGCTCCTGGGGGCGTTGGCAAGACAGAAGGGGGGGCTGCCCAGGCCCTTCAGGATCACTGGGGTGCTGTCTTTGGTGCTACTGAGGACGGCGAGCCCCTCTGGCCCGAGCTGCTTGACTATGTGCCGAAGCTGCCAGATGTCTCGGAGGCGGTAGATGAGAATTACATGTCCGGGCACGGGTGGCTGATGGACGAGGGGGGGCGGTGTCAGCTGACCAGGGGGGGGAAGGGCAGCGTGCCGAGGGGAGATGGGATTCCTTACTCGGCCTGGATGGCCCCTGCCGCTGGCAAGCTTCTCTATGATTGTCATCGGGCTTTCATTCAGAATCCGCATGCTGGCATTCCGGATGATACGAAGCGTAGTCTCATGCCCCCCCCCCCCCAAGAAGATACGTGGACAGGAGGTGGGCGACGGGGTTTACAGAGGGGCTGCCGCTGCCCGCCCGCTTTATATGACGAGCGCATCTGCTAAATTGTTCTCGGCCTCAATGGCTATTCCCCTCGCTGAGAACGTTGCGTGGCGCTGCCTGCTCCAGCCACTTCAGATGTGTTTTCGCGGTTGTGATGTGCCGGTGAATGTGATGGAGGCGGAGAGCTTCCTCTTAGAAACCACCTTCGCGATCGTTACTCAAGTGGTATTGTCTTGACGGACTTTGAATCCGCCCTCCCTTCCATCTAGATCTCCTGGTTCCTGAGGGTGCTTAGCACGATGGGTGTCCCGACTGTCCTGGTCAAGTTCTTCCAGGCCCTCTACCATAATAACTCTGCTGTGACTTATCTGTTCGGGAAAATGTTTGGGCCCCTTGCGATTGGTAGAGGTGTGCGACAAGGCGATCCGAGCTCGATGCTCTTATTTATTCTGGCGGTCGAACCTATTCTTGCTTGGCTGAAGTCGAGGCTTCCGTCTCAGCTCATGCTGGCGCTTGCCTACGCTGACGACTTCTGTTTTGGCCTCCGATGCTTATTTGATGGCCTGGGGCCGCTCTTCAGGTATCTGAGAATGCTCAATAGTTCGATTGGGCTTGCGCTCGGCTTCCCGAAGTGACAGATTCTTCTTGCGCGTGCTCGGCTCAGAGAACCCACGCAGGACATCCTGAGTGACCTCGGGCCCCCGTTCCACTTCATCGAAATCGCCTGTTTCCTTGAGTTCCTGGGGATCTGGATCGGCCTTGGGGCTGAAGAGGTGGCCCTTCGGGAGAGCGAGGTTGAACTCGAGAAACGTACTCGGGGGACTCGTGACCTTAGACTCGGGCTTGCTCAACCCATTGTTCTTTTCAAATCATTCTGTGTTGCGCTGCTATGCAGCGCCCACCAGCTGCGTCGACCCGCTCGTGAACTCGACAAAGTATCTCAATCGTGTGTACGTTTGGGGGCTGCAGGGCCGAACAATGTTCTCTCGTACGCTATGTGCGCGAATCTCTGCGCGTGCGGCCTCCCAGTTGAGTTCCCTCGACTGTCTCTGGTTGCGGGCGCGACCCGTGCCGGGTATATTGCCAGGTGTGATGAGCTGCCTCGCATGCGTGATCTGGCCTTTCTAAGGTTTTTGATGATGGCGACTGGTGCCCGTGCAGACAGAGTTGTGGCTGGTATGTTGATAGCTTCCTCACCCGCGCGTTTAAATTTCAGGATCTCGTCAGGCCCCGTGGCTTTGCCATCCTGTATGAGCGAAATGATGCGCAGACGCAGTATTTGCATGTGCTGAAGCGATATCACTTGACCGCCGTCCCCCCCCATGAAGCTCTCCTTCGTCGGGCATGTGCGTGGGTCCCTGGGGTTACCATCCTTGACATTGGTCGTGCCTGTTCCCTGGTCAAAGCTCTGACGAGACGTTCCAGCATGTATCTCCCTTTGGCTATTGTTCGTTTGCTCCTCAGATGTGTCTGCGCTAGTGCTAGATTCCATGCTGCTCCCAGAGGCTGTATTCTTGGATGCCCGTGTCCTTCGAACTCCTATTGCGACTTCGACGACATAGTACGCTATCTTGTATGCCCCAGGCTCAGACAGTTGTTCTCTCAGTGGATGGGCTCCTGGGCTCCTGCTTCCTCTGGGTCTCCTGAGTGTTCGCCCTGGCTCCACTCTTGCCTCCT